GGTTCCCAGACAGTTGCTTTAATTAAAACGGCTCACCGTCAGGTGTATTAAACCCCTGCACATTTTAAAATGGCGTTGGGACACTTTATCTAAAGCTAATTTGACATGGTTTCAATCAAGCGCCCTTACAACCATTTTTAAAAATGCGGGTGTTTAATACATGCAACAGTGAAGCAATGCTGGGGCGTTCTAATTAGAATGAGCACACGTACAGGCAGCCTTAAACTATAAATGCTGTTCACATGGTCTAATCGTAACGTGTAATTTCACCCTTAGACTCTGTCATCCCTTTATTTGTCACATAGCCAAATTATACATATGAAGTTCTCTTCATCTCTCCTCCTAAAGACATCTCTTCAGTCTCATTAAAGTGAATTTCTATAGCAATACTGAAACGGAAATACTGGAATTTATAACAAGGTCGAAATATGATTCATTTAGCTATTTTGATATTTCAGCATTGACAGTCCTTTTTTGTTTTGTTTTCTCTCATAGGTTCAGGCCATTGCTTTCACCACTGCTTTGATCTCTTTGTTTGAACGACCAGCTAGTTCCCCTGAAGGAGAGGAAGCAACAGTGACCATCAGCTGGCAGGAGCTGGTCTCTGGGTATCACAAATGCTGCTATACATTAAAGCATAAAATTCATTATAAAGACTGGGTTAAGCAAGGTACTGAATCTGAACAAAAGTGAAAGCCTAAAAAGTCCCATGGAATGTATTCAATGGTAAATGCCCATGAGTGCCTAGAAGCTATTGTTAATTGCTCATCTAGGGAATCCAGCCAGGAAACTCATGCTGTATCTATAATAGTAATGAGTGTCACTAATTCTGGGTGAATTATTTTCCCAGTGATTTCCTTCTGCTGTATTTGATTCATCTTCTCCCCAAATTCTCAAGCTATGCTGGAGGAAACAGATGTTTGCCACCATGCATGCAACTTTAACTTGATTTTTCTCTTTAAAAAATGTTCATATTCGTTGTCAAAACGTTTGTGATACAGGGTTTGTGGCACCCTCTAAAAGAGATCCTGCAGACTTGCCCCAGCACTGCTTGAAGAGGTGGCTTGGCTAAGAAACAACCCAAGTCAGCAGGAGCAGTTCAAGGAGACACTGCCAGCTATAAGTTAATTAGGTGCTTCTGAGACCATTTGGGCTAAGCACCTTAATGGATGGGAGGGAAATTGCTGATTAGCAGCTGGAGTAGGAATGCTGGGGAAGTATGAGTACTTCTGAGATGTAGCTTGTACTTGGGGGTGGTAGACTGAGTTTACCTAGAAAATTATTTGGGACTAGCTAGAGACTCCTGCCAAGCATATGGGAAGTCCTGGGCGTGGGGAAATGAGCATCAAAGTTCCCATTGAGTTCAGCAGGGCCAGAATTTTTCTATTGATGTGTAGTCAGATTTAACAGGAGCACCAGCAAAAATACCTTAAACGAGGTAGTGTCAGATCTAACTCAGCTTTTTAAAAACTGGATACTAGTGGTGGATATAGGACACCAGTGAAGTAAGTAGCACAAAGTCAGTGCTAGTGAGTGAAGGAGCTGCTGTTTTAGGGGTTCATTATTTGTCCCAATGGGACTTTAGAAAATGAATAGCAGTATTTTCTGAGACCTGCTGGTAGGGGTTTTGTTAGACTATTCATAGCTCAGAGGGTTTGCTTGGGCCTCCCCATGCATTCCAGCCCCAAAACTGTCATGTCACAGATCTGTTAGGTTTCATTTCACCTGCACGTCCTTACAACGAGAGCCCAAATTTGGGTTCATTAGGCATTGCTAGTAGTGTGAGGGAGACCATTTGGAAAACAGCAAACTAAATTAGAGCTGATGGGCCAGATGGGCCTCTTGGGCTTGATACTGATCTTACGAAGAAGGGGTCAAAAACTTGGTAATAGGAGGAGTCTGTGACTACAGTTTCTTAAGAGATCAGATAAAGGGACCAAGGACAAATTGACTCCAGGCAAAGTGTCTGGATCTTGTATCCATCACAAGAAAAGCAGCTGAAATTTGTTCATTTATTACAAATTCATACATTTCAAAGTACATTTTTAAAAACATAGTAACTGAAAAACTGTTTATCACTAGATAACTCTATTAGCTACTGGGATTAGTGGGTGCATGCAGTTTCTGTTTATTTTATTATAGGGTTATGTTCTTTCTTTCCTTTCTCTTCCTGTTGTGTCAGACAGAACAAGTGATAAATGTGGCCTGCACTTGGAGTACAGGATTTGCTGCTTCGTGTGCCGCTGGGGTCAGACATCACTATAAAAAAGGCAGGGAGAAGACACAATTACAGTCTTGTCCCTGCTATGTACTAGTGATTTGGAGTGGGCCTAAGGGCTGCTGGCTAGTACAGCATAGTGTGGAGATGATAATGAACTAGGTTCTCCTAGATGCTTTTTTTTCTGACCATCCCATTGGCTATCCTGCGCCTATTCATCCCAAATGCCATAACTGGGCCCACAGAGGAAAGCATGTTCTGTTTCGTAACTGTATACAACTGCTAGGAAAGTGAGAAATGTGCTTGTGTACCAATCCAAGTAATTTCAAATGAGACATTTAGGACAGGTTTTATTAACTTGGGATGTGTGAAGCACATAAGATAAATCAAAGTAATCAAAGTGCTATTATAATGGATACCCTTCGAGTGCTGCATGCATTCAGCATTTAGTGTGAAGGCTGTAAAATGATATGACAATCTGATCTAGTTCTAAATGGTTCCCATTAAAGTGAGTTTATTTTATATTGTGAGCAGTAATATTTCATTTTTCTTATACTGTGAAAACAAATAGTTATGCAGCATAATGCTTATTATGTCCAGAAGAACCTGAGACTCTATGGCTAGGGACAGACTTTACACATAAACTGGTTTAAGTGATCACAAACTGGTTTAAACCTTTAACAGAACAGATGTTCAGTACACATAAACCAATTTGAAAATGGCTGAAACCAGTTTGAGATAAACTTGGTTGAATGTAGTATCAGACTTAACTGATTTGGGTCAAACTGGTTAATGCAATGTCTGTCCCAGACCCTTTGCTGGTTTAAGCTAAACCAGATACCCCCAGCATCCCAGCATGCTCTCTGGGCTGGGTGGGGCTCTCTGCTCCACAGCAGAACTGGCTCCTCCCCTCTGCTCCCTGGCTGGAGCTCCAACAGAGACTTGCAGGCACAGCAGGGTCTGCTGGCTTCCCTATGCCCCCCTCACCCCTCCTTTTATCACTCGCTGCTTAAGCAGTGATCCCTTCCTCTTTTCCCCCACAGCACAAACTGTAGCCAGCATGTGGTATGCTAGCTAACACTGAGTAAGGCAGACAGGACAGTGTCTGCTTAGGGCTTTTTGGAGGTAATCAAGAGCTCAAGTGGTAATGTCCCTGCATTTCTTCCTTTGGAAAAAGCTGTTTAAGAAGAGCTTGTAATGAGTGAGGCTTTGTTTACTGATGTGTTGTTAAATGCTGGTAACAGAGCTGATAAATGCTCTGTTATTACAGGCGGGGGGCTCCCTAATCACAGTGTCCTGCCACGGGCTGGCCACAACCCCTTCAGCTCAGCCCTGTGGAAGGGAAGGGAGGCATGCTGTAGCATCCCCAGCTTCTAGCCTGAGCCATTGCAGTCATGTGCTTGCATTTCTGGGATGTCTATCTGGTTACAAAACTGATTTAGCTTAGCCAGGTTAGACTAACCTGCAAAGACTGAATCAATTCTTACTCAGCTTTTTTGAATGTCTGTCCCTAGCCTACAGGATCACACTGTGATAGGTTGCACTGGCACTCAATCAAGGGAATGGATTTATCCCAGTTCATCTTTGGCATGGGGTCCCTGCTGCTCTGAGTTGAACCAAAGATGGGTGATAAATGTCTAGCTACTACTACCAAAAAGTAGCTAAAAGATTTCAAATCAGTTCAACCCCTGACTCCTAGCCTGGGTTATCTAGACCAGTTCCCAGCACAAGCTAAAGGACTCCCCTGCCTTGCCCTGCCCTTTTAAATGGTGAAACCAGATTAGTCTTCATTATGACTTGTGACAGAACCTGTACATGACGCTACGTCCCTGCTCCTTACCTCTTCTGTGCTGAACTGTTGCATTGAACCAGTGTATCTGTAGAACTAAATCTTGAGAGTTGCCCGAGTTCTGGCATCTCTCAGAAAGCTGAGCAGTTTGTGAAGCGCTTCATGGTTCTTCAGGATCAGCTGTACTATCTCAATGCAATAAACAGCACTAGTGTTTACCATTCCATCGCATAGTTGGTTACTGCTTAGGACTTATCTTTTTTTGTCTTATTAATCTTTTATTTTTCCTGTTTACAGCTGCTCCAGATCTTGACTTGACTGGTGTACCCCAAGTAATTATTCCCATTTCTTTTTGATATCACCCCTTGAGAGCGTCTACATGAGACACTATGTTACCATAGCGATGAGCTACATTGATATAGCTTGTTGCTACGGCGACGTAGCATCAGCAGGCACAAACCAGGATGTAGGCACAAACCATGATGTCGACACTATGTTGCAGTAGCAATGAGCAAGATTGCTGTAGTTCTCTTCTATAGACGTAGCATCTAAAAATAACTGTGTGCTGCTGGGACTGCACAGTACTGGCAGGTACTGCGCAGTCATTTAGTACTAAAGCAAGTACTAAATGTGCAGTCATGGGCATGAGTAGATGTGCCCATTGTGTACAAATCACCACCACAAAGATGCTGTATTCTGAAATTTCTCACATTTGATTCTTTCAGCCCCTGTATAGGTAGTACTTCATAAAGCCTCATTTTTATAGCCTTTGCTGGGCCTGCCTTTGTTTTACTGGGATCGTGTCAGTTTTTGGAGTTCAAAGATGAACAGTTATTTGGCTGAAGTCTTACTACCTCGAATCCCTGATCAAGCCTACTGATATTAATGTAGAGGATCCTATTGACTTATGGGTATGGGATCAGACCCTTCTTACCATGGTTTATGCTGATGTTCATCTGTGCAGAGGACTAGCTCAAGAACAGACTGTCAGATGTGTCACACTGTATTTGGATGACTTAAATGGTACATAAGCCATTCTAAATAAGCGTGAATTTCACCTGATTATTGATCTCTGAGAACACGAAAGTGTTAAATTTAAGGGAGAAGTGATAGAAGAGATGGCATAGCTTGTGAAAAAGAGACAGTACCTGAGATCTTGATAACATGCTTTATATAGACAGTCAATGTCACTTAAAGGACAGAGAATACAGGATATTTATTTGCCTGCCAAAGCTACAGTTTAGTATTTGAGGGAAAGAATAGACTACTAAACTCAAAACGCAGGGAAAGGACTTTAGTCAGTATGTGAGAAATCAGGATAACAGGCATGCAGAGCGTATGGGATGGTTCAAATGGAATTTGTAGAGCTCATGTGAAAACTTGAAAGAAAAGTGATAGGTTTTCATGTCTGCGACCGTTTGCAGAAAAGATCTGTCATTCCCTGCATAGGATATCAGAGATAAAGAGTTATTTATGTAGATAGTGAAGCACAGTATTTTCAGAAAATAGCTGGAAGTAATTTTACAGGGAAGCAGTTTTATGTGCAACAGGTGAGGTTATTACTGAGAACTTAACTTCTAGGGTCACTATTCCTCAGACCTAAAGCAGCAGAAGTCACACTGAGTGGGAGGCCGGGGGATGAGCACAGAATATTAAAGCCTGAATAACTGTTGAATAGCTGTTAAGTACCTAACTCCTTAATGTAAATTAGGTGCATATTTGCCTTTGCAAATCTCCTCCTTGGTCTCAAATGTGGACCTCAAAATATGGTATGTGCTGGAGGAAAGGCCAGAGATGTTATAATCTTTCTTATTTGAAAGGAATGTTTTTTATTTGTTAAGGCTCCTGCTAAATATATAAATTAAATACAGGAAAGAAAATAAACTAATAGCATATTCAGTATTTGGTGGTATATACAACAGGACAAGGGGCAGTTTGAACTGTAGAAAACAGAACAAAGGGAAATAGTAGGAAATATTTTACTGAGGAAAGTGGTAGGCATTGAAAAGTAGACTGTATGTTCCTTTCTACTCTTCCATATAGAGAGGGGCTAAATGGCAGGCCACTATCATTAACTGATCCAGAGAGCTGCAGAGAGGGGAAATCTGCTACATCCCGCTGCTGCTCTGCTACATCTGCTACATCACAGGCTCCTCTGTGATTATAGTGTGGTTTTGTGTAGATACATGGTCTGGACTGAAGTAAGAGTCAGGGAATGCTTGCTTATCATGGCAGGCTCCTTTCCCAAAACAGTAGTTCACGCATTAAAAATTCAGGAACACCTCTCTCTCCCTGGCTTTTGCAGACCAGAGGTGGACTGTGACTGCCTGAGGAGAAAGACGCCTAATTGTCACACCGCTTGTTGTTCTTACTGCGAAAAGGAAACCCATAGAAATCTGCCTGTTGTCTATGACCAAGCAAATCTCAAGTGACGATTCCATGGGGTTTCTTACTTCTAAATTTGCCGGTTCCACTGTGACCATGCCTTTGGCTGGCTGTCATACAGAACATGAGAAGCCATAGAGCTTAATGCAGCACTGCTGAGATAAGAACATTTCCTATAAGTAGATGTGTTCCTTAAGCAAAGGCATGTCATTGAGGATGAAATGCAGCTATCGGTTTTAACATCTGATATTCTTTCTTTTGTAGGACTGTATTCTGAATGTTTAGGAGCCTGTGAATCCAATAGGTCTTCCCCATTCTTAACTTTTCTGATTGCATCTGTAGGAAATCTTGGGATGTTCCATATGTATGAATGGAGTGAAATTGTTATTCATTATGCTTGTGATAAGAAGACTGTGAGGCCAAATCCTCCTGTGGTGTACATTGTTATAACTTCACTGAAATCAATGGAGCTGTGCTGATCTGCACCTGCAGAGGATCACTTACACAACGAATATTTTAAAAAGCATTTTGCATGAATACAGCTAGCTATTGCAAAACACTGGGAAATGAAGTGACATTTTCAATAGAGATTCAGATATCATCATGGCAATATTTGTGTTGTTTGCACTCCAACTGATGTTTGAGCATTAAGATAAAGAAACTTTCTTTTTATCTCAATCTGCCCCTTTTCTCCTTCTCCTTGCAGCCGAACATTTTAATTTGTCACATACTTTGATGTTATGGAAATTACTTTAACATCACCTTTTAGTCAGACGTTTCTCCGAGGAGCTTGACTTACAATACAATTTAGTCAGGAACGAGTTTATGTCTTTGTAACAAACTGTGCAAATTACCAGGCTCCTGAAACACACAACATCTTATTTCTATAAATGTCACTTGTAACCTACAGATTCCAGTCCCAGAGCAACATCCTGAGTTTTTTAAATTTCCCATTTGTCTTGTCTGGATGGACCACAGGGACAAGAATTACAACAACATTTGAAATTAAAGCAGAAGAATAACAAAGTAATTTCCTTGATAGTTATTCTTTAAGTCCTTTAGTAATTACTGTAGAGTAACTATATATTTGTATTGGAATAATTACCGCATATTGTAAACATTAAATCTCAGTGTTGTTTTACAGAATGAAGAATAACTAGCTTGGTGGCACTGGGCAAAATTGTGGCATCAATTTTCAATTGAAAAATCCCTGTTGAACTCAGGTCCTGAATTACAGACACACCTCTGTAATTCATAAAGGATTATCAGATGGCTGGCTGGTAGTATACAGTGTTCCTTAAGTCTCTGTACCGAAAAAATAATCAAGGCTTCATTATGTAAAGAGAATGGTGCAATATATATTGCCAAATTAGATTTCTTTCGTCTCCAACTATAGTATCCTGAGCATTATTAAATCCTACTGAAGTCCTGGAAGTGATAGACTATCTTGTAGGATTAAATCCCATTGTCTATATAAGTCCTGGTGCTCTATGAACTGCTTCCTTACTATATACTGTGAGCTTGTGTCACAATCCAACTATGCACTTAAGTATAGGAGTAGTTGTGGCCAGTGGCCAGAGAGCTTTTCATCTTTCAGGATTAAGCTGTGAGCTGCTTTGGACTCTGAGTCAATGGTAATTTCAACATAGAGATTTCCACAGACTTTGTATTACACTGTAGTTGAGATTTAAAATTCCTGTTTTCTTATGCAACTGGCTCTGATTGGGTTGTGTTATAAGAAATCAAGTGTTTTCTCTTATCTTTTAGTTGCATACAGCTCCTCTTTAGATGCCTTTATTTCCAGTACAACCAGTAATATTAATACACTGGTGCTGGCTTGGAGAGAGAAATTAAAGCCCCATCTTACAACTACATCCTTCAACATTGCCCGGGGAGTTAATGCTTTTGACTTCCACTCCCGACTCAGCTTAATTGGTATGTTAAAAATAAGTAATTTGTTCCCTTTAATGTATCAGATGAGACCAATAGAAGGTCTAGTATTCTGTGCTGCATGTTGCATGGGCATTTTCTTTCCCATTTATAAGAGCAAATGGCTGACTCGCCTTGCTTTTTGTGTAATTATTTATAATGCTGGTTTATGATGGTAAGAGACAAATAAGCTTTGGAAAAAGTATAAGAGAAATTTTTGCTTAGAAAACAAAAGTTTAGGGAAGTGATGAGTAACCAAAGACAGGGGACTGGAAAGGAAACCGTTATGCACTGTTAACCACTGTAGTCACTACTGATAATGTATTCACTGGAAACATAAACACATTCTCATTTATCAAAGATGTCATCACTATGTTTGTCAAAGATGTGGTACAGTTTCTTTGTTATTAATTAAAATAAAATCCCCTTTAAAAATCCTCTTGATTTTAATTTATTTTGCTTTGTGGTCTTGAATAGCTACTGCTGGAATTAATCACCAAGTTTGTCTTTGGAACCCTTATGTCACATCTGAACCTGCTGGAGTTCTACAAGGCCATTCTGCCGCTATAATAGCTGTCCAGTTCATTACTGAACGAAAGCAGCTTTTTAGCTTCTCAAAGGACAAGGTAAAGTAGTCTTTATTTGGCAAGACTCCTTTAGATCTACAGGGCAGGTATTCAAAAAAGGCTTGGCTCCCATTTCAATGATCCTCAACACTCAGGAGCTCCTCTTGTGACATCTTCAGTCAGATTTTCAAATAAGCTCAATACCGATGACTTCTAAAAGTCTGGTTCCATTGCCTGAAAATCTGGCCCATGGTGAATGCGATAGTTTGTTTTCCGATCTGTTACTTCTAACTGGAGATTGTGATTGTGATCTAGTCTTTTCACTAGAAAGGCCAGGAAAGATCTGATCAAAACCCGAGATGAACATTGCAGCCAGCATCAGCATTAAAGACTACTCAGTATCTTCCAGTAGCAATGTTAACATTGTGTTTCTTCTGTCGTTGCTAAAGTATTATGTTACACAGTGTAGGGCATGATGTTGTTTTTCACATTAGTATTAATCTACTAGCCAATTGCCCATCATGAATGATGGAGTGTTTCAGGGAGAGCATACATGCCCCCCTCCCCACTCACCCTTTGGGGCCAGCCATGTAAACCAGGGGTGGGCAATTATTTTGGGTGGAGGGCCACTTCCCAAGTTTTGGCAAGCTGTCAAGGGCTGCATGGGTAGCTCCACCCCTTAGTAGGTGCCCCACTGCTTGGTCACCATCTCATGACCAGAAGTCCTGCCCCCTAACCCCTGACCTTTGCCATCAGAAGTCCCTCCCCTTGCCCCCAGAAGTGTTCCTTTCAGCAAGGGGTTTTGCCATCTCTGAACCAGAAAAATACCAAATTATATTCTAAAAAGGTAACATCTACAGTATTCATTAATTTGATTTAAAAAAATATTTTTGTCCCAATTCACATGTTTGTGTAGTGTACATAGAGGTGATTGCACAACAGCTTAAAATGAAGTCTTACTTTTGTATATTGTGGGGGGGTATAGGTTTGTGGGGACTGTGGATGTGTGGGTATGTGGGATGAAGGAGCATGTGGATGTGTGTGGATATGTGAGGTGTGGGTGGATATGGGGTTTGTGGCAGTCTGTGTATGTGGCAATGGAGGGGAGTGTGGGTGGATGTGTATGGTGGGGTGTGCATGTGGGAATCACCCTATGAACGCACACACACACACTGCCCCTGGCTGCACACACA